CCCCCCTCCCCCCCCAAGTGCACAAATTTTTGTGCACCGGGCCTCTAGTCCTATATAATAAAAGGCTAATATGCAACTCGACTGAACGGCAGAACGACCGGTCGCTATGACGTGCACTGACCACCAGGTGGCATACACTCAACACAGGAGCTGCCCTCCAGTGGTCAGTGCACTCTCACAGGAGGAGCACCACTCAGCCAGAAGCCGGGCTCACAGCTGGCGAGTACAGCGGCGGTGGCGGGAGCCTCTCTGGCCTCCACAGTAGCACTAAGGATGTCCGACTGCCAGCAGTTGGACATCCCCCGAGGGCTCCCGGACTGCGAGAGGGTGCAGGCCGGGCTGAGGGACTCCCCTCCCCCCCAAGTACACGAATCTCATGCACCAGGCCTCTAGTTATATTAATAACATACTACGACATACGAAGAATTCAAGTCCATTTCCAAATCTAACATTCATCACAAACATAATGTAGACAAAAGCAGAATTCTTTTTGCAAATATGCAGGCTCAGAGATATTAAGTGATTTATCCTAGCACTTCCAAACTACTGTTAACAGCAGTAGTTTAAAAAGCAGAGATTGAGACAAGCCATATACTTATACGATATGGCTAGAACAAACAAAGCCAAACAAAAGTTACATTTCACAATAAAAATAAGACAGTTTAGAGAGAAATTACACATGGTTAATACTTGACATATGAAATTATGGGCTTAAAACAAAAGAGAAACTTAAATCCTCTACCTTCCATACCTGGACCATATAAGCACATGTAACCCCAATGACCCCTCTGAGTCATCTAGAAAAGGTACATTTAATAATATAGCATTGAGTATCCTTAACAAAATCTAAAACCCTAAATATCAATAGTTTCATTTTAAGGCCTTTATAAAATGGACAAGTTATGTCAATTTGTCTAATGCTTACTTTGCTCGATGAATTGGTTGTTAATGCATTTTAAAATACTGTAGCCATCATAAGTAGTGTTAATGAACATTCCAGACAGAAATGTTCCTGCCAAGAATAGGTGAGACTGAAAATTGTCCTCACCCAGCTTCAAAAGTAACCAATGCACATACACTGATGTGCACTTAAAAGACAGCCAATATATTTCTAAGATAATGTAATTCATCTATTCAGTTATTCTTTCAACAAGTATTTACTACTATAAGTCAGGCCCTGTGCTGGGCAACACAGTTCTTACACTATTACAACTTATAGTACAATAGGAACAGCGACAAAAAATTTTACCTGGCCTAATGGTTAGAAGGTATGAAGTTTTATTTTAAAAAACATGTAACATGGGGCTATTTCTGGTTGGTCAGCTTTTCTGAAGAAGTGGGGATGAAACTAAGGTGCAAAAGATGAGGAGGTATTAGACAGTCCTAAGCAGTGAGAACAGCAGCAAAGGTTCTAATATAGCAGTAACTTTGTCCCACTAAAAGAACCATAAAATCAGTGTGTTTGATACACAGAAAGCAAAGGGGAACATATAAGATTAAAGACAGAAATAATGGTCATAACAAGAAGGGCCTTGAGAGACCACACTTCAGGATCTTGGTCACAAGGGAAAGCCACTGAAGCATCTTAATTTACAGAGTGACATACTCAAAGTTTGGTTCTAAAAATCCCTCAAGCTGCACATAGAGCAAGGACATCAAAAGTTTGGTGATGAATGGATGTAAAGGTGATTAAAAGAGAGGTGTCAAGCAGGATTAAAAGTTATTGGACTGTATAAGTGGAGTAAGATTAAGACTTGGTAGAATCACATGGGAAGGAGAAAGTTCTGCTGCTGACTAAAGTACAGCCATCTTGAAGGTAAGACTCTGGAACAGTTAACAATGTTAAATACCAAGTTTCTTAACAAAGAAATACTGTTGTTAAAAGAATCTATAGAGTACCTCAGCATGCAGACCATCTGAAGTAAATATGTGAGTAACAGTCATTTCATTCTTCGTCAGTGTTCCAGTTTTATCTGAGCAAATGACATTACAGCAGCCTAAAGAATAAACCATTACAGGTCACCAAAAGTCAAGGAGAAATACAAGGTCACATTGACAACAAATCAAAGATTGTGGGAGCCTGCCCTGCTTCTCTGAATTTTGTACAAATCAAGCTCATTGATAATTTTAGACTGTTGACTCTCATCATGTTTGCTTCATTGTAAGGTAGTTTCTGAAATTAAAATTAAAAATTAGATACTGATAAATGTTGAAAATTTTTCTTATTTACTTACAGTTGAATTTCATAATGCTATTCAATATTAGCTTTATATAATAATCTACATAATAAAAGCCTAAGCGAAGGTTACAGCAGAACGACCAGAATGACCCGTCAGTTGCTCAACGCAGAAGCTGCCCCCTGGTGGTCAGTGCGCTCCCACAGGGGGAGCGCCGCTCAGTCAGAAGCTGGGCTCACAGCTGGTGGCTGGCTGCTGGCGAGCGCAGCAGCAGTGGCGGGAGCTTCTCCTGCCTCTGCGGCAGCGCTAAGAAGCAAGGAGCACTAACCGGTTTGGTGCAGTGGATAGAGCAGCCGTGGGCAAACTACGGCCCGC